TTTTAAAAATCAAAATTAATCCATTCTTTTCTTTTAAATTAAACATATCAACTACACCTGCAGCTTTAATTGTGTTAATTCAAGTGTATTAAATTTTGGATATTTATTAAAGTTTTATCCGTTACGATATTGATGAGTTTAATTTTTATATGCATTTATCTACCTTTTTGAGCCTAGAATTTAATATTATGGGTTCTTTGTAACTTAATTTCACCTTTATTTATATTAATTTCATTATATGTAGGTGGAAATTAAGATATGAATTAATTTTGTAATAAGTGACAATTTGCACATGTTATAGTAATTTAATCATATCTTTTTCTCTAGGTATCGGATTGAGATGATTCTTTAGGCGTTGGAAAGCTAAGAGGCAGAGCTACAATTGATGTTTTATGAGCTTAACCCAGTTCTAGCTGTATCAATACAGATTTTTGGTTGAAAGTGACGGTTTTGACAATGGACAGAGTGCAAAAATAAAGAGAATTGGACTGTGTTTTTAGGTGTGGGCCAACTGCAGTCCAAGCCCAAACCAAAGCCCAATTCCCATGTCTGCTAGGGTTAAGGGGTTTCTAATTTCTGGAGATATATATAGATGCTACTCGGCAGAAACAAGGGAGCCACAGAGAGAGATGCGAGAGGAGTTGTTCTGCACATTGGAGGAGAAGCAGCCCAGCCGCCCAGCCTTCTTGCCATCCGCATCTGTTGTTCACCAGCAGCAGAAGAAGACAGAACCGCACAAATCTGCTCTGCGAATTGAGAACGCAAGAACCAATTCCGTTTGCAGAAGAGCCACGCTGCCGCCCAGCCTTCTTGGGAGATCCCGACCACAGCTCACCATTCGGCAAATTACAATTCTTCATAGTTTGGGTTTTGTTGTTTCTGAATTTTTTACTATGATTTTCTGCTAGGATTTATTTTTCATGGCTGTTGAGAACATATACATGTGTGGCTAGAATTCTTTGAACAAGGGATGGATAGATTTTAATTTTTGGAATATGTGACTGTTTTTGTTAGTTTAATTCAAGATTTATTGGTTATTTGCATGATGAGTTTATATTATTGAGTTTAATGCATTGAGAGCCTGATCACCTTTCAATTGATTTAGTGATTTATGCATGAACTTGAGAAAGAATTGTGTGGATTAGACCAATAATAATATAAACCGTGTGCTAGACTATGAGACCGAGAAGTAATTAGCTCACATGTGGTAGTGGAGGAAGAGAAGAGAGTTAGTAGCTCCCCCTTCTTAAACTAGAGGTTTCCATAGAATTTAATGCTCATTAGTTTGTTTAAAATTACATAGAGATATGATTAATTTAGCAAACAAATGAAGGATTAGCTTGACTTGAGAAAGCTGGTTAATTAATTTAGGGAAATCTGTCATCTCATGCGATAACACTATTATTTGAACTTGAATTAAATTAATGAAACAGTTGCATAATTCAAAATTAAATGAAATTCAAACCCTAGTTCTTTCTCATTCATAGTTACTTTAACTTAGAAAATTCTTTAGTTTAATTTTCTTTGGTTGACTTAGTTTTCTTTTAAATAGTTTAGTTTTCCCCATTAATTGGTTAATTCAACTTAGGTTAGATTAATAGGGTCTTGGTAGTGTAGGATAGTCCTCGAGGGAACGATATCTTACTCATTCTATACTGCATAATCGATTAGGTTCACTTGCCTAAAAGTACTGCGTATTTGGTGCATCAGATATCAATCAAATTATCCTATTTCCCATGTTTCCCAATGTTCAAAAAAAAAAAAAAAACCTATCAACCAAGTAACCGGGTTTAAATGTTAAAACAGACGCCTCTTAAATAAGTTATAAAAATATGAAAAGTTGTGCCCAATTCTATGAAGAGAGAAAAAAGAGGAGAATAAAGAATTCTTGAAAGATTGGTTTGGGAAGAGAGCGATGAAGATGGAGATGGGGATGGAGATGGACGCGAGGGGAAATTAAATTCTCAAAATTTTAATTTTTAATAAATAAAAATAGTGACTATTGATGTGGTTGAGTAGGGATGGTAATTTTCTTCACCATCTACGAAGTTTTAGGGATAAAGGTTTTTTTTTTTCGTGAAATTTCATAAGGAATTTCCTCTACCCTGTGGAGAATCGTGGAGATATATATAAAATTAAAAAAATATAAATTTTGTTTATTTATATATTTTTTTAAACATATTAACAATTAATTTTTACTTACCCAACTTAATTAGCTAACTTAATACCAATACAACCTAAATTTCACAACCCATTCTTTTTTCAATTTTCCCAAACCCAATTATCAAGTCCAACCTATTCTTTTTGTCAATCTAGTCTTCCTAAACCTAATTGCCTAGCCCAATTTACATTGGTAACCCTCCAAAGATTTCAATTTTAGATTTGTGATTCCTCCTCTCCAGTCCCTTCTACTACTCTGTGCTGTAACTCTCTTTCTACTCCTTAATCCTCATCTATGATTCCCTTCAAGCTCTCACCGTCACTACCCATTGTGCAACCACTGCAACATTGATATTCCCCCATCTCTCACTCACACTCAACTCGATAACTCTTCTCCAATCTTTCAACCAATCGCTAGTAACTCATCTCTTTTATATCCTTTTTCTTAATGAATTTATTGCTGGATATGTATGGTAGTAGTTTATGCATTATGAACTTTGTTGATGACAATTGCAGTTTATGCCTCTTTTTTTTGAACATTTTGCTGGATTTGTTGGACTTATATGGCAGTTTATGCCTTTTTTTCTTTATGAACTTGTTGCTGACTTGCTGGATTTGCTGGACTTGCTTGACATGTATATATTGGCTGTGTATATTTATTGCTTGTTTGTCTTATTTCAAATTTTTATTTTATATGATTATTTTAGTTAGTTTTATTTGATGCATGTGGAAACCAATGAACTTTAAGCAAGTCCATGTTGAGCGTAATTTTGATTAACAAGCAACGGAGTATATGGTAGTTTTATTTGGTAAGGATTTCGAATACCTATGGGGACCTATCATTCCTCGCGCATATGGGGACGGAGGCTATTTTTGAACCTCCACCAAAAATTTCCGTGGGATCCCCGTACCTGCCATTGGTGAGAATGGGGATGGGGATGGGGTCCCCGTCCCTGTCCCCGTGGGGACCCATTGCCATCCCCGTGGTTGAGTCCTGAGGGTCCAACAAGTTGCCTATCAAAGTTTTAAGGGTTAAAGCCAATTATAATTACTCTACTTTCAATTTCTTTTTGTGTTCT